AACAGAAGCTACTTGTGGAGATGTCTGCTTACTTGCTCGATACTGAAGGAACTCATTATACTCCCCTTCAGATAAAGAAAATCCCTGGTTACCTGTAGTCTCAGTCTGAGCAACATAAGCATTTTTGGTTGGGCGGCCATGTAAAGAATAGCATACATCACGAGTGTGTCCAAGTTTATGACAATAGGAGCACTTGGGTCTAGATCTTCCAAAACGACCTCCTCCTCGTCTATTCTCCATAGTATGAGATGCCCGATTGTCCACTGATTGGGATACGAGGACAGATGAGTCAAGTGTCTGTGATGAGCTCACTGGGTGACTAGGTGCTGCAGCAAGGCGAAGTAATCGAGAGAATAATTCATCAACTGTGGGGACGGTTGGACTAGCCAAAATCTGGTCACGTACTGAATCAAGGTCATTAGGGAGTCCAGCGAGTGTAAGAACTAGAAACATCTTCTGTCGTTGCTCTTGTTGTTTTTCAATACTAGCAGAAACTGGCATCAACGTCTCAAATTCTTCCATGACTGCCTGAACTTGTCCCAAGTAAGTAGACATATCTAATTCCTGTTTCTTCAAGCTTGTCATTCGCGATATTACATCATAGAAACGAGATATGTCATTAGTGTATAGATTACGAGCCTTTTCCCAAACTAAATAACATGTCTGGAATGGACGGAACAAGGGCATCAACTTGGAATCAATAGATCGCCACAGGATACTACATAACTGAGCATCGACCTTCTCCCATTGTGTTTTGGCCTTTTCATCACCTTCGCTAGCCTTTTTTGTTAAATGATCTTGAACTCCTTGACCTTTACACCACAACTCGACAGATGAAGCCCAATCTAAGTAGTTTGAACCTCCCATTAAAGGTTCTGAGGTAATCATAACACCGGAACTGCCAGAACTCGGGTTTCTAGACCCGAAAGCATCGACTCCCAAAGACATGGTTGGATTATCACTAAATAACAAAAAAGAATCAACTGAAAATTCTCTGAGACAGATGAAGAAAACACTGTGTTTGCCGGAAAAGTACTGTAGCTGCCGGAAAAATCAGTGTAGTCGCCCGAAAAACTCAAAGTGGTCGGAATTAAAAAATAAAAATATGGACAGGCTCGGAATTGCAGGGCGATCCAACTGCCCTGAAGAAGCGAAGCCGAAAAATGGCCGGAAGAGGCCTCACGCGCCGGCGCGTGGGACAGACGCGCCGCCGGCGGCAGAGTTCCGACAGGCGCGTGACGGCGCGTGGAGGGCTATTTTCCGGTGATTTTTTCTGGGGTTTGGTCGGATCTCTCTTGGGAACCTTGTGGTGGTGTTGGATTTTGCACAACACTGTTAATTAGTGACTTTGACGCAATAAGTCACTTAGGTCACCGGAAAATTGCACGGTGACTGAGTTCTTTCTTCCCGGAAGTCGCTGGAATGATGCACAGCGATATGTTTCTCACTAAAGCTCTGATACCATGTGAGAAAGCACGGGAGAAAATATATTATTGATGTATATACATATGTTACAATGAGCCCTATATATATACACACATAACATGTCCTACTCCTAACATATATTGGATTAGGGTTATTTATTTACTCCTATTTACATGACTATTCTAACAGATATCCTGTCACAACAAATCAAGAGAAAACAGATAGCAAAAAGAACGAGTACCATATCGTTGTTGCGTTGTGCATGGATTATTTATCATACACTTCCCCGAAAGAGAGTGTATCTTCTTCTTGTCTTTCTCTGAAGACAGCGGCTTCACGTAATTGGCGAGTTCCACCGGCTGGATAGAAGATGGCACTCGGTAGAGACCGAAAGGAAGACACTCCTCCTCCTCTGGGATTTGCAGAGGGGAGCGAGTAATTGTGCCCCAAATTCCCATGGTTTGGGGACTGGGGAGGAGGGTCATCATCCTCTCGGATGTCCGCAGCCGGTGGGGGTGATGTAGCAGTTGTTGGTGACGAAGGGATGACCGGCGAGGAAGGAGATGAAGTTGATGGTGTTGTGGGTTGAGAAGCAATTGCAGCAAAGGAAATGCTGGTTGTAGGTTGCTCATCAATCGAAGACGGAAGAGGCCCGATAATCAGCCTCATAGTACTGAGAGTAGCAGCGGGGACTGGAAAAGGAGAATTTGCATTCTCTACTAAATCATACTCTCCCCGTAGCGCTTGGGTATCATCCCCGGTTGAGGTTATAAGCTCTTCAGATTAAGCATTTTGTTGAGCTTATGAAGGTCGTTGTCTCCTTTGTAAGAAAGCCCCTTCATCACTGGCTTCCCCATCATCATCAATCAACATAGTGACAACGGCTGGCTCAGGTACGACTTTCTTTACCTTTTTATTTTTTCCATCGGCCGAGGAAGAGCACCTTCTTTTTGGTTGCTTGGTCTCCGAGAGGAAGCACTTGCATCGGAAGCAGATCCGGTGGCGCTTGTTCGAGTGAAGGCCTCTTTCAGCAGCCTCGCAGCCTCTGCCGGATCAGCTAAAACATCCTCCTCGGAGATGGTAACAGAGCCCTGCTGAAGACCTTAATTCAACGGAAAAAGAAGTTAACCAATTTTCTTATACACAAAAATGAGATAAATACAAGATTAGTTTCGCAAGCCAGCTTACCATAATTTTTGGCCTTCCACTCGTATTTGGGGGCCAGTTCTTTCCACCAGCGGGTCTCAAGCGTGGTAGTGTCCAGAATCGTCTGGACCCACTGGTCCAAGCCTTGAAACATTGATGGTGTCCATCGAGTTACTGAAATAGTGAAAAGAGAAGGATCAGTAACAACAGGAAACAACCTTTTTTTCAAGAGAAAAGACAGGCTTTAAACTTACATGTACGAGTCCATGACTCAGGGAAAGATGGAGTTGTGGCTGAGATAATATCCTTGGTAGAAACAACAACGAACCGCTCCATCTATTTACGGTCGTTGTTGTCATCCATGCTGGTGAGCAAAGCATGGTGGCCATGTTTGCTAAAGTTTATTACTCACCCAAGGAAAATCTTGGGTGAGTAGAGGTTCATCATGCGAGCCAAGGTGAGCTCTTCATTCGTTTCCTGGCACAGCCTCCGTAGACAGGCTACCGTTCGCCACACCGAAGGGCCCACTTGTGCCAAACAAATCTGGTATTTATGGCACAGCTCCAAAATCACGGGGTCAATTCCCCAGCTCAAAGGAAAACTCACCCAAAGTAAATGGGTACAGATAAACGTACATAAAGCCCTTCTTAGGGAAGGTTACTCGCTCCACCAGTTTTAGGAGCGATGATATTCAGATCATGGCAATCACAATCCTCCTTCACAGCAGGAATGCTAGAATGACGGATGGAAGAAGAGTACACGCCAACAACCCATGTACGAGAACTTGTAGAAGGAAACTTGTCCTCGAAGTCCTTAGTTGTGTTGAGTCTTCTGGGAATGATGGTGCTTACCATAGGAGGGCAACATCATCGGTGTTTTCTTTGTTTTAAGAGAACTGGAGTTCTTGGAGGAGGAAGCCATGGTTAGCAGAAGGTAATAAGAATTCTTTGAAGAAGAGGATTAAAGAAGAGTGAAAGCAAGAAAGAGTTGAATGCAAAGAAGTTGCGAGAGTTTGAAAAACTATGAAGTGTAAAAGAAAAAGAATGAGGCGTATAAGTAAAGAAATAGGCGGCTAAAATCGTGGCCATGATTACCTCGAGAACCGACGAAAATATTGCTAAATCGTGGAGTGACGCGTGTTCGGGGTATTAAATGCAGATAGACGTGCATCTAATCAAGCGTCAGAAACTTTTCAGAAGAGATCAGAAAATTTTCCGCCAAGAAAGGAATCTTCACCAACTTCCCGATGACACAAAGATGTGCCACCGGAAGCAGGGGGACTATCTGTATAGGGTAAAATCGGCTCATATTAAATACTCGAATAATAGAGCGACACGTGAAACCGAAGATATACGGAAAACGGGGCAAGTGGAAACCAAAACTGGGGACAGCAGCTTCGGTTAGCACCGGGCAGATCCCGAAAGGAATATTGCTAATGAGGACAAACAAATATTTGCCACCAGATGGCATTCAATGAAGAATATTCCTCAGTATTAAATACGCAATCCGTTACAGCGAATTTGACATTCATAATCAACGGCCCCCATAATTGTCATTTAACAGGGGCTTCATCCTAGGACCTTGTTTCCTAGGTGTAGCTATAAATAGTGACTTCAACAGCCTTTGTAAGATACGAAAATTCTGACAAACTTATGCTACACATTATTCCAAGCTCAATAATATTTATTTTCAGTTTATTGATATTCTTATTGCTGTCTTTGGAAGCTTTGCTCCCGGAACCAAGTTGTTTGCTATTTTATCTCGATTTCAACGCTAAGTCTTGCATTTTATTTAATTTATTTATCATTTTGGGATCAAATCAATTCGGTTGTCTATAAACCATATTATAAAATCAACTGTACCGATTTACGGGTAAACAATTTATACCGCAAAAAGACTAAAAAAGAATCTTTTTGTTGACCTTAGATCTTTTCGTGTAATCTGTTCAATAATTTATTGTCGGTTTTGTTTTCTTGGTTCTATTTTGTTTCCCGGAGATAGCTTATATGGGGATTGAGGGTGCTAAAAGTGTAAGAAGTTGGCGTTTCTCTTTAAGAAAGTGTTGAAAAACTTTCTGGAAATCGATTTTCAACCAAACACCATGAGAGAAAGTATTCCAGTTTTTTCAAAACCGAAAAACTTCCACTCGTCCCTTCGGGGACATCCGATAAAATTAGAATGATACAGAGAAGATTAGCACGGCCCCTGCGCAAAGATGATACACATAAATCGAGAAATTGTCCAACTTTTTTTTTTTAAACATTCATTACTTCTATTCCAGCCATTTTGAAGAAAACAGAAAATTGAAAAAACTTTGAAAGAACAAGTATTAGTGATCACAAAAAATTACCAGCTACTTACAAACGAAAAATTAACAGACTCATGTATGCCAGCCAAACGGGACTAGTATAAGTATGAAAGCCAAGATATCTCTAAGCTAAGGTACCTTTGATATGTAAACAGATACATACAGTAGCTTCAATGAGCCATTTTGTTCTAAAGATCCTCTATAATTTCTCCAAGATATAGTTCTAAGCTACTGCGATTGACCTTTTTCTCTTACAACATGACATTGTAACTGATCTAAAGCTTATGCCATAGACCTCGACATGAGGCAGCGATTTGTCTGCATTTTCATTATAGCTACTTACAGAAGAAAACATTAACTGCTAAGCTAAGGTACCTTTGATGTATCAGCACATGCAAACGCGGCTTCCAAATAACACCTTTTATTGTATAGATCCTCTAACTATGTTCACCCGACTCTCTACTATTTTGATTACTTTGACTGAAAAAATTTGTACTAAAATCTTGATTACCGAATGCCACCTTCCTAAACCAACTTATTTCTGCAGATTGTAATGCAGAGCTATGTATTGCACTTTCACCAACTTTCATCCCGTTTGACAGATCATGCATAGCCATACCATCAAAAGCTCTCATGATCTGCGAAGCATAAGCATGAACGGAATGTAAATGCCAATCACGAGATGTCTTAAGGGCGTTTCTGGCATAGGTTTTCATTCAATAAAATGGAACAAAAGTTACCTGTCCCATTGCTGGTCTCTTTGAAGCCGAGTGGCGCACACAAGATGCAGCAGCCTCAATCATTCGAAAAATCTCACTGCCAACGTAGTTCTTCTCAAGGCGCGGATCTGCCAACTGATCAAATTCCTCTTTTTCAAGCGCCTGACTAAGCAAAGGTCGAGCCTAGAAGAGAAGAAGATCAAGTCACTGTATTATCTAACTTTTTTTGTGAGTGATTCAGTTACAAAATCATTTTATGCTGAATTCAAGTTTAGCAGTGGTAATTAGTACCGATTTTCAATTCTAATCAAAATAAAAATCTTCTCAGACAATTCAGAAGAATATTGCCATGCTTCCTTAGCAAAGATAAATATATTTGTTAAGGTACTAAAAGCTTTTTCAACTGGCTATTGTCACTACACTGACGAGAAGAGAAACTAAAGAGATCAAAAAAAAAAAAAAGCATAGTAAATGGAAGTCACGCGCTCAGCATTATCGTAAAAGATACTAGTTTCCCTTTGCTCTTGTTATTGGTTTTTCAGTTTTTTAACATAAGAGGATCAATGAAATCAAAGCAGATAACTTGGCGAGCTGTTTTATTGTTGCAAAAAACAAAAACAACTATAGACTCAATGTTTTGGGTGCAGAAAAAGATTGATACACTCTCCATCTCAATTTATATGAGTCTCTCTTCATTTTGGAGCATTCCAAAATGTTTGACATTATTTTATTAATACATACATTCTATACTCCCTCCATCCCTTTTAAGTTTGACCGGGCGTGGAGTTTAACAAGGAAAAGAAAAAAGACTTTTGAAACTTGTAGTCTAAAATAAGCCATAGACATTTCTATGACTATAAATCCGCTTATTAAGGATAAAATGAGAAGTTTAAAGTTAAATTTTTTCTGAATACGGAAATATGTCATTCTGTTTAGGACAGACTAAAAAGAAAAGTTGCCACTTAAAATAAGATAGAGGGAGTACTGCTTCTACAGATCTCGAGAATTCAAATTAACTCAACTATCAAAATTTTAAACTTAATTTGATGAGATGTTTTCTCTATCAAATTAACTTTTCACTTGTTACATCAATATTTTCTTCCACTACCACCAATATAATTTACAAGCTAAATGAACAATTTAAACTCTATGTCTAGTCAAATACTGTCATATAAGATCAGAGAAAAGTAGTATTAGTAAACTGATACTCATGGCTATTATCATGGCAAAAAGTTCCCTTGGTCTATTTTGACTTCATGTTCATGATATCTCATTTCGCCCTTATCAATCACTTAACAAGTCGATTATATGAAATCCAAGTTCCCCTGGTAAGCTCCAATACTCTCTTTCTCAGATAAGGGGAAGGGGATTGAGGTAATCTAAACAGGTGTTCCAGGTCTAAGAGAAAATATGGTAAACATAGGATGCCAACTATTGCACAAGATTATTCTCCTCAAAAGCACAGTTCACAGTGGAATCATTATGTTTAAATTCTAAGGTGTGTCTGCTTCCAAATTGCATATGAGTTTCCTATCCTATAAACATCAAGAAAGACAAGGTCACTATCTGTTATGAAAAGACAGAGCTCTTGCAACGAAAATAACAGACATAATTCAGAACCCATCCAAAGATGAAAAGCTTTTGACTCCACAAAAAAGCTTAAGGATACTTAAGTATTAAAATTGAGAAGTCATTCAGGTAGTTCGAATGATCAACCAATAGGATATTATAGATATACTCTTTTCATGACAAATAAAAGGATCCTGTGCTCTCTATGGCTAATATTTCCATGTTTCTCATCAATTGATAATCTTTATCTAGGCTTACAGCATCACAATCTCATTCTTCTCAGGAAGGCCTCGCCGTGTGGTAGAAAAGGGTAAAATAAAGAAAAGGAACTTCACTAGAAGATCTACAAGAGACCTACTGTACAGTAGCAAATGGTGGTTTCTTCAAACATCAGCTACCAAGTTCTTGTGCAGTGTGGGGAAATGACAGGAGCAACAACCAAATCCTGACTCAAATGAAATGTAGAGGTTATCCGAGCTAAATGAGACTAAAATAGTACGACATACTGTCTGCATGCGGATATGCAAGTTTATAGCCTTTAGGTTGGATAAATGACCAATGTAATTATTTCTAACAAATGGTAATAAAAGAGGCCTCATGGAAATAAGGACAGGTTGGCTAGAAACATACCCACTCAACTAGATTCTCCTGCCCTGAAGGCTGAGATGTATCCACTGGCTTCCTTCCAGTAATTAGCTCCAGAAGCACAACCCCAAAGGAATATACATCAGATTTTTCAGTCAGCTTGCCGGTCGATGCATATTCAGGAGCCATGTATCTGAGTTCAATCTAAGGAATTAGAATAAATATGGGCAATTGAAAAAGATTGAGTTTAATATAGTAATTCGTGTGCTTCCAACTTAATGCAAATGTTGGCACTGAAACATACCCAAATGTTCCCACGACACGTGTTGTGATATGACTTTCTGCATCCTGAGCTAATTTAGCCAGTCCAAAATCAGAAACCTAGAGAAAATAAATTAGTTGTAAAGGGTCAGCTCGCAAGACAGAATGTAAATATAGGAGTTTGAGGACTTAGACATACCCCTAGAAAAAAAAAGGAAAAAAGAAAGATTTAGACATACCCGAGCCTCAAAGTTATTATCCAAAAGAATGTTCGATGACTTAATGTCTCTGTGAATAATACGAGGACAGCCTGTCACCCACACCAAAGAATGAGTTAAAAACCAAAAAACAGAGTATCATACTTGAACTATAATTAAAGACAAATTAGAGCACTGCACTTGCATTATGACTTCGTCAAAGTTTCATGGCCTGCAGTAGCACAAGTAACTAGAATGAAGGAAATGAGCATTCATGATCACAAAAATAAAGTAACTTCATCCAGTCTAGCTTCTTTAACTCTTCAATTTAACAGTATAACATAAGAACTCGACCAGTGAAGTTTTACTCAGATGCTTGTCATGGGACTACTGGCAAATCCAGAAGCATATTACGCATTACTACCGCAAAGCCTGATGAGGTCACTTTAGCGTGAAAGAAATACTCAGCATGTTCAAGGAGACTATGTGTGCTCGTGGATAAAAATATTCCTACTCAGGAATGTTATTTCATGGTGCAAAATGTTTATATAATCGAGGTAATATACGAGATGAATAAAACCTTGAGGACACAATTGTAAATTGCATAAGTTATAGCATTACATTACAAAAAGGAAAATTCCAACAAAAAGATCTTGCTACTTCCATTGAGCTTAAACTATTTATTTGTTCCGTTTTCTCTTTTTACTTCAAGTCCTCTTATAGGGATAATAGGAGAATGTTGGCTTTGGAGTAGCTTAGCTTGCTTCCATTAACCTATCACAGTTGTTCAACTAGTGGAGTAGGGATCAATGAAATGAACTGTAAGTGATGATGAATAGGAACGCACAATCTCATATTGCAATCAGATTCCTCCATATGGTAATGTTTTCAACCTCTGTCTTTCTCTCTTTAACTTTCGGGGGAATGAAAAAGGAGATATATTTTGTTCAACCAAAAACGACATGAAGTTAAGATAAACACGGATAACTCAGAAGGATTAAGGAACAGATCACTAATTACAATCTTCATGCAGATATGCTATTCCAAAATCATGCCAAACATTTATATAATGACCTCAGAACCAAATTTTAAACTGCATTAGTAATATCATTATTGTGTGTAACCGTCTCATCTTAAAGTTTAAGCTGTTAGAGAGAGCACACTTTTAGTTACTTAATTATGTCTTCAACACGCCCCTTCACGTGCGGGCTTGATTCTTTTATGATGAGCCAATCACGTGGAATTTTTTTGATAATTGGTGGTGAGACTCGAACCCAGGACCTATGTCTACTCTGATACCATATTGAAGTGTGTGACCGTCCCATCTAAAAGTTTAAGCTGTTAGCGAGAGCACACTTTTAGTTACTTAATTAGTCTTCAACAATTACATCACAAAAAGGAAATGCTAACTGCAAGGCCTTCTACTTCTATTGAGCTGAAAATAATTACATGCTTCCTTTTCTCTCTCTTTCTATTTTCCTTTTACTAATGTCCGCTTTTAGGGAGAATAAGAGGAAGGTGATTGTGGAGATCAAATTTCTCTCCATGATCCTGCGACAGCTTTAGGGATCATTAAAAAATAATAAGCATGACGAATAGGTGTAGAAAATATCAATTGCAATCAGCTTCCCTGTTGTGGTAAATTTTTTAACCTTACTTTCTCTTTTTTTAATGTAGGTGGAGGTCTGTTCAAAATGGAGAAATGAAGTGAATAAAACATGGATAACTCATAAGGATTAAGGGAAGAGAACACTATTACAATCTTCATGCAGATAAGCTATTCCACGAGCTGCGCCAACAGCAATTTTAACACGTGTTGTCCAATTCATGACAGGCCTCCCTTGTGCTGTAAATTGCAAGTATCAACAGCTAGCTTTAGTGACCACACATAACAAATGAAATAATTAAATCTACAAATGTTAAGTTTACCATGAAGATGGAAGTAAAGGGTATTATTGGGAACATAGTCATAAACAAGGAGGCGATTCTTCTCTGAAATGCAATAACCTACAAGTGAAACCAAATGACGATGGTGTATCCGACTAATGATTTCAACTTCAGCTCTGAATTCTCGTTCCCCCTGGCTCCCACCAATATTTAGCTGCTTTACTGCTACATATCTTCCATCTGCTAGATATCCTTTGTATACAGAACCAAATCCACCCTTCCCTAATACATTCTGTGCTGAAAAATCGTTCGTGGCCTCAACTAGTTCTTGATAAGTAAACCATGTCTTTGAACTGCTGAATCCACAAGGGTCCCCTGGAGAACCGAGGAAATTGGAGCCAGTTCCATTTATCTCAGCTGTTGATTCCTCGACCTTCAATAAAGCAGACTCTGTACACAACTTTCACATCTTCTAAGAATTCACTTGAAAGGTCTCAACTACCAATAGTACATTGATCTTTCTTGCAACACTGAATAACAAACTGAAAGGAATTATTTGATAGTTTCTGAAAATTTACCTGATTTTGGAGTGGAGCACACAGAGATTGTCTTGACATTACCAATATTATAGCCAGAATTCTTCTTCTTTTGCTTCCGTATACACCATCCAGCCGCTGCGATAAGACCAACCAATAGAAGAACAAGTACGATGCCGATGGAAACTGTCCCTGCAGTACCATTGCCACTACCACCAGCAGACTTTGAGCTTTCTGCTGGATGGTTTCCAGAACTATGGTTACTAGCATCACCTGAAGGAACTGGTGATGAAGGAGGAGTAAGAGAAGGTTGTGTACCGTTAAAGGATGGAGGTGGTGATAGTTGTATCACAAATGTTGGCGGTGATGAGTCTGAAGGGGAATCAGAAGATGGTGAGGGACTGGGAGGTAATGTAGCTGGTGAAGGTGGTGAATCTTTAGGAGGGCCTGAGGCTGGGGAAGGAGGCGGATTTTCTGATGGCTTAGATGTTGGGGATGGAGGTGAATTTGAAGGTGAGTTGGAAGAAGATGGTGAAGGCGGTGAAGGTGGTGAAGGTGGTGAAGGCGGTGAAGGTGGTGAAGGTGATGAACCTTTTGGAGGTTCAGGAGATTGTGGTGGAGATGAATTTGAGGGTGATTTTGGAGCTGGAGGAGGTTCTGGATTCTGTACGGGTGGCGGAGGTGACAATGTAGGGGGAGGTGATGGAGGTGAACTTGCAGGAGGAGAAGGAGTTGGTACAGGTGGAGGTGACACAGGTGGTGGATCAGGTTCTGGAGGTGGTGGTGAACTAGGTGGCGGACTAGACGGTGGAGGTGGTGGCAAACTAGGAGGCGGAGTAGAAGATGGAGGTGGCGGTGAACTAGCTGGCGGAGTAGAAGATGGAGGTGGCGATGAGCTAGCCGGTGGGCCAGAAGGTGTAGGTGGAGGACTAAAGGTTGGAGGTGAGACATCGGTTGGAGGAGTAGATGCTTCAGGAGGTGGTGGAGAAGCCATTAGTGGTCAATGTTGGTGATAAGGCTAGAAGAGGCTATGTTACATTTGTTGGAGGACAGTGGCTTCCGGCATGAAGATGTTGCATTTGTTGGAGGGGATTTTGCGGGTAAGGATGGAGGAGAGGTCACAAACAATGCAGTGAACTGAAGGCAGTTAGTGGAATTCCAAAGTCTATAACTTGGAGGTGGAGAAATGGTTTAAACATCTCACCACCAACAAAACTAGCTACATGTACTACAGTTCTTATACAATTTCAAAGTTTTCAAACATCAATGAACATCCATTCCACCAAGAATTCCAAGTAAAGTGCAGGCGTCCTGAACTTATTTCATAAAACCAAGATCCCTAATAAGCAATAAACTGCTTCCTCTTATTCCAAGATTTTATCCACAACATCCAAATTCGTTAACCAATTCACTCATACCATGCAATTTCACTCCACACCCAAGTTAAACACCTAGGATTTCAGCACAACAAAAGGTTTAAGCTTTCGCGTGAAATCAAATCTTGCCCACTACCCAGAATTCAGTTTCAGGTCTAAAGCAGAATCCAGCTGACAAATTTCTCCTTTAGCTAATTCACAAGAACAATCCCTCACACACTGCACAGACCCTTATATCAGAGTAAAAAATCAATCTTGTAAAGAAGGCAGTAAGTAAACCATATCCACAACCAGACACCCAAATCAAGAAAAGACAGAGAAAATCCAAGATTTTGTCCTTGCAATGTAGAATTTTACCCTTATAAAGCAAGTAAAATGAAGAATTAACCCTTTCTAAGGAAACCCCACTACAAGATAGGACCATAAAAGTAAATCAATTGTTAGAATATCCACAAAGCATTACCTATTTATTTCCATGCAACAGGCATGATCAAAAGCTGGTGAATTGCAATTTTGCAGCTAATGCTCAACGTAATGAATCAAAAAGGAGGCATCTTTTTGTAAACCTGGGAAGCTCATATCAATGAACAAGGAAAATTGGGTCCCCCCAAATGCAATATATAGGGCACAACAGTGAGAACGACCCGCTAATAAGAACATAAAACTTTACAATTCAGTTATGTGCGTGTATTGTATATGATGTACATGAGGAATATTTGTTTTTTTACAATAATAATGTCGTAGTCATATGATGATCATAGGTTTATGAAGATTGAATTAGGTGTTTCGTTACAACGTCACGATCAATGGGATTGGGCGATGGTTGCGCAACGTTGCTGCGAATGCAAACAATCACAAGGCCCCATTTCTTCTATTCTTTTTTCCCCCTCTTCCCCATTATTTTTTAAAATTTACCAGTTGAGTACGTTCTAATGTATAAGGAGTTTTTAATGAAAATAATATTCTACAAATGTTTTACTTGAAAACTATCTTCATCCGTGTTATAAATAGAATTTTATTTATCGTGAATGTCTATATTTAGAGAGATTCTAGGGTTTATTACTTGGTGGCTAAGTCACCCTCTCCCTATAAATAGAGGGTTCTATTCCATTGTAATTCACTCCAAAAATTCAATAAGAATTCCCTCTCTCTCTTTCTCTGCAATATTGTTCTTCTGCTTTTATTGTTTTGTAACACGTTATCAGCACGAGGCTCCAACCAATTGAGTAGAAGCTTTGGGATTGAGCATAATAATTGTCAACTGTTCCATGAACTTCCTTCATGATTAAATTATGGATTTAAGGTAAGTATCTTACTTTATTTTTCTCTTTTAAATTCTTGAAATTCTATAATTTGATTTTATATACAAGCAAAGACAACAAAGTTTGATTATAACTCTAATGGAGTTTGTAAGAAATTATAACCACCTGAAGTGGTAAAATTTCTATGTCTTGCCATGATCAAATTCTTGTATGATTATGAGCACAAGAAGTGGAAACCCGTCCCATTGAATTTGCTCCATTCTCATTCCCTTAAGAGAATGTGATAGCAATATGCAATAAGTCTGAAAGAAGACAAAATTATTACCATAGAGGTATCAATGGATGTGGACGTGGTAATAGACGAAATTATAATCGTCATTATCGTGGTAATGAGAATAATAAGGATTCTCAAAATAAGCCTTCACTCTATGAAGTTAATGTTTGTCATCGATTTGACATAAGAATTCGTAAAACACATACAGATGACTACGGTCCATTCATGATGTGAATGTGAAAACATCTGATTTATGAATACATATTCATTCTTGGAAGAATATGAATGTGCTACTGTGGTAGTGAATATACCACACTCACCTCTAAAGGAGGTTTGAGATGATATAAGAAAACAATGTCGTTATTATGGCATGAATGGTCATTGGTCACGTACCTATTGTACGCCAAAATATTTTGGTAATGTGATTATTAAATATAACATTAATGCAAGAAACATATCTTGCATATAATTTTGACCATGACTATAATGGTATAACTTTCTCTTTAAAAGAGATATTCACCATATGGATGTTGATAAATATGTGGTACTACAAAATTAATTGAGAACTCTGCAAGAGCCAATTATACTATTTTGGAGAAACACAATTGATTACCAATAAGGTATTGTGTTGTAGTAAGTCTCAAAGAAATTTATTCAGTTTTTAAAGTATTCGCGAAAGCGGTTGGTCATACTGAGACTATAAATAAAGGAAAGATTTAATATCTTCTATTACTACAACTTGTAGCGGGGTAATATGTATGCGAAAAATTACCCGCTTTATTCTCCAGTTTGTACTACACAAATAAAAGAATACCACAATAAAGTGAATGTTTATTGATACAAAAACTCATATCATAATAAACTTAGAGTTTATTGATAATTGCACACGTCATGGTGTAATCTGAAGTTTATCAATATTGATAATTTATTCAGTAGGCATAATTGGTTTACCCATATCAATTTAAGTATGATGTGCAAAAATAAAAGAGAATTCACATGGGTAAATATTAAAGAACTAGAAAGTTCTTTACGAATTCTCTTATATTGCTTGTTCTCATTAATTAATAGATCAACTAAAATTGGGATTGAATCCCATGAATGCTGGAAATATCAAAGGTGAATATGGGCCCATTCACCTGTCATGTATACCACATAAGATGCATCTATGAGATGGTTACATGTGCGATTATTATTAACCCGCAACCTTGCCGATGTTTGCGAGGTAACTTGCTCATTAATTTAATTTCGAGCATAATTTCCAGATTTGCTATTCAAGAAGTTCATCTTGATAAGTTGGTTTAAATCACAGTTGGTTTAGCAAAATGATTTATTAAGTGCCTCTACTTAATAGCTAAACAAGTGCTTATGAGAACAAAGTTATCTATATCAGTTTGATATAGGTTATATACGAAAGTATATTACATTCTCCCCTCACAAGTGGTTCAGGGTCAGGAACCAAATAATTACATCTTATTATAATTGATGTGCAGTGTATATTTTGACTAACATCATAACGCACAAAGATGGGTTCTCAAAGTTGAGGAAACAAGTTAGTTTTTCTAATATGAGGGGGAGACATGATAAACAGTTGAGAAAAAGTTACGTGAAATGAATTATCATTTGTACATCTAGATCCTCGAATAAAATAATATGAACTTGAAGTTCATAAAAGGATAATTCATGTGCAATTTATTACAAAGCATGCCAGACGCATTTGCTGACCCAAAGAAAGTAACTATATTCTCATTGCAAATGCTCTTATTAAGTCCTAGAAGGACAACGTCTATGGTACGCTTAAAGCATATAGACAAATCGGTTTCAAATAAACTTCTTAATATAGAAGATGAGCAAATGATCAAAATGATCATAATAAGGAGGCAAGTGATCTAGAAGATCACATGACATAACACTTCATAAAATCTCAGGAGAGATTCAGGTACCTAAAAATATGAATGAAGAGATCTCTATGTTATGTCTTTATGAAAAATATTGAAACCGATATAAAATATTTATCGACGACATCTATGATAGCGCTAAATATATATATGAGGATCTTAAGTCTGAAGAAACAATTCGAATAGAATTGGATTCATATGAAAGACATGTAGTTTTGAACATGTAGTTCAAATACTTGAAAGTACAAGTCAATGGTATGTGCAATCAGTTTTCGATATCTTATATGTCTATCATGACATGAAAACTTGATATGCATCAAAAGTCTATTATATGACTTATACGACTTAACTTATATGACAATCCATGAAGGATTTAAATTGCTTGAAGCATATACAATTCTTGATCTTGAAGTACCACATCCTCAGTGCAATTTGTGCACATATGTATCTTGCTATAACTATAAGCATGATAATGTGATAGCGAGAATACCTCTATGGAGATATTGAAAAGTCATAATATGAAGACATTATATATCTATCAAGAATGATGATTTCAAGGTGCAATATATTCATTCAAGTTAATATGGTTGATTTGTTTATCAAATATCTACCAATGATCTTTTGAAGATGGTGCACAAGATTGGAATGCAAATGCTTAAGGATGTGAATTGATGCTCTCATGAGGGGGAGTTAATGCGCGTTGCACTCTTTTTTTCTTACAAGGTTTTGTCCCACTGAATTTTTCTTGCAAGGTTTTTAACGAGGCAACCGAAAGGCGTATTATTAGATTGTGTACTCTTTTTCCTTCTCTAGAATTTTTTTCCCATTGGGTTTTATTTTAGTTAAGGTTTTAACGAGGCACATTATCTGTTGAATAGACATTCAAGGGGGAGTGTTATAAATAAAATTTCAGGTGCCTCAGGATGGATTTGGAAGAATGAATCTCATGTTAGAAGCTTTAAGATGGAAGAGTTGACCAAGTTTGACTTTCATGTATTTGACCTCGGATTGGAGTTTTGATGGTTATGTTGGGTATGGATAGTGATTTTGGACTTGGGCGTATGCATGGATTTGCATTTGGATGTTTGTAGAAGGTTTCAGCACAATTTAGCGAAAGTTGGCAATTTGGAGTTTTGGAATGTTCATAAGTTTGACGAGGAGTTGACTTTGATGAACGGGTTCGGATTGTTGTTCTGGGAGTTGGAATAGGTTCTTTATGTCGTTTGAAACTTGAGTGCATAATTTGAGGTTATTCCGAGTTGATTTGATATGGTTCGGCACGAGTTTTGAAAGTTAAAAGTTCAAAGTTTATTAAGTTCGTTTTGAGGTGCGATTCGTGGTTTTGATGTGGTTATGTGTGATTTCAGGCCTCGAGTAGGTTTGTGTCGTATTTTGAGACTTGTTCGTATGGTCGGACAGGGTCCTGAGGGGCTAAGGTGTGTTCGACGGGTTTCGGAGCATTTTGGACATGTTAGTTCTGCTGGTTCTGGTCTTCTTCATGTTCGCGAAGGTTGAGTCGCGATCGCGTAGTACAACGTGGGGTTGTTTGATGTTTGTTCTTCGCGTTCGCGCTTTAGAGATTGCGTTCGCACTGGTTGAGGTTTTAAGTCTTCATGTTCGCGACCATGACTACGCGTACGCGTAGTGTTGAGCGGGGCTGGTCAGTCTTGATGGGTTCTTCATTGCGTTCGCGATAGTTTGACCGCGACCGCGGAGGTCTGGCAGTGTGCTTCTTCACGTTTGCGAGGGCGTTTTCGCGAACGCGTATAGTAAAGTTTGGCAGTGTGAGTTTGTGCTTCGCGAATGCGAGGCTTATTCCGCGTTCGCGAAGGGTACCCCTGGGCAGTGTATATAAGTACTCTATTTCGGACCCTTGAGTTATTTTATCACATTTTGAGTTGGGGAGCTCGAATTTGGGCAAATTTGGAGGTGATTTTCACCACATAGATTAGGGTAAGTATTTTCTACTCGATTTTGATTATATTTCATGAATCTATCTTCGATTTTGGTACTTGGATTATGAATTTTAAAGAGAAACTAGGGATTTTTGTCTAAACTTTCCTAAGGTGAATTTTTGAGTTTGAACATCGATTCAGAGTCGAATTATGGTGGACTCATAATTGAATGGGTTGTCGAATTTTTGTTAGTTTTGTCAGGTTCTGAGGTGCGGGCCCATGTTTGACTTTTAGTTGACTTTGAGTATTTCTTAAAGATAGTCGTTCGGAGGTCGATTTGAGCGGGATGTCGCTTCTAGTGTATCGATTTGGCTTGTTTGAGGTAAGTATCTTGCCTAACTTTGTTGGAAACATTTTATTCCTACTAATTGGCATTGTTTGCTACATGCGGGGGTGATGCATATATGATGTAACAAGCGTATATGCATGTGTCAAGGTTAA